ACACACACATGTGTGACATCATCACTATAGTGCAGATTTACAGTCATGGACAAAATTGTTGGTTCCCTCTGGCAATGAAAGAAAAATCAACAATGGTCACTGAAATAACTTGACACTGAGAAAAGCAATAATACATAAAAATAATACTGAAAATTGTCCAACAAAAATTAAACATTGTTTTTTCACGTGTGGTTCAACAGAATCATTAGAAAAAACTAAATAATGAAACTGGCCTGGACAAAATGATGGTTTCCATTAACTTAATATTTTGTTACACAAGTTTTAGAGGCAAACTCTCAGTCCAAAACGCATTCAGTCCAGGAGAAGTTGTAATAATCCACAGAAAAAGAATATCAAGTTGTTTTTTTCCATAAAATAATTCCATGTGGGTAAATAATCCAGAAAAACCTCGTCCGTATAAATGGATGAATGCGTGAATGAAAATATATCTGTTGCCTTTCCGAGCCTTCTCCCTCTCTGAGTTCCGTTTCTCTTGGCGCGCTTGGGTACGCTTGTTTTCCTCACACTCTTAGCTTCAAAATGACACCATCCCCTGGTGTGGCTCATTGCCCCACAGCTCAGCCGCTGTGTGTTGGAGTTCACTCCGGTGAACGAGAGGGTCGCGTCCCTGCGCCTTCGGGTCGGGGACAGGTCTCTCACTGTGGTGTCGGCCTACGGGGCCGAACAGCAGTGCTGAGTACTCGAGTACCCGGCCTTCTTGGAGTCCCTGGGAGGGTACTAGAACAGTGCACCGACCGGGGACTCCGTTGTTCTCCTGGGGGACTTCAACGCCCACGTGGGCAACGACAGTGACACTTGGAGAGGGGTGACTGGGAGGAACGGCCTCCCTGATCTGAACCCGAGCGGTGTTTTGTTATTGGACTTCTGTGCTAGTCACAGTTTGTCCATAACGAACACCATGTTCGAGCACAAGGGTGTCCATAAGTGCACGTGGCACCAGGACACCCTAGGCCGGAGGTCGATGATCGACTTTGTAGTCGTGTCATCTGATCTCCGGCCGCGTGTCTTGGACACTCGGGTGAAGAGAGGGCTGAGCTGTCAACTGATCACCACCTGGTTGTGAGTTGGGTTCGCTGGCGGAGGAGGAAGCCGGAAAGACCTGGCAGGCCCAAGCGTGTAGTGAGGGTCTGTTGGGAACGTCTGGCGGAGAGCCTCTGTCAGAGGGACTTTCAACTCGCACCTCCGGGAGGACTTCTCCCGGATTCCGGGGGAGGCTGGAGATATGGAGTCCGAGTGGGCTTCATTCTCGGCCTCTATTGTCGATGCGGCTGCTCGGAGCTGTGAGCGTAAGGTCTGTGGTGCCTGTCGCAGCAGCAATCCCCGAACCCGGTGGTGGACACCGGAAGTAAGGGATGCTGCCAAGCTGAAGAAGGAGTCCTATCGGCCCTTGTTGGCTCATGGGAGTCCTGAGGCAGCTGACAGGTACCGGCGGGTCAAGCGTGCTGCAGCCCGTGTGGTTGCAGAGGCAAAAACTCAGAGCTGGGAGGAGTTTGGGGGAGGCCATGGAGAAGGACTATCGGACGGCCTCAAAGAGATTCTGTCAAACCGTCCGGCACCTCAGGAGTGGGAAGCAGTTCTTCACCAACACTGTTTCCAGTGCGGGGGAAGAGCTGCTGACCTCGACTGGGGACGTTGTCCGACGGTGGAAGGAAACTTTGAGGATCTCCTCAATCCCACCGTCACGTCTTCCGAGGAGGAGGCCGAGGCTGGGGACTCGGAGGCGGACTCATCCATCACCCTGGCTGAAGTCACCGAGGTGGTTGGCAAACTCCTTGGTGGCAAGGCTCTGGGGGTTGGATGAGATCCGTCCTGAGTACCTTAAGTCTCTGGATGTTGTGGGGCTGTCTTGGCTGACACGCCTCTTCAACATCACGTGGCGGTCGGGGACAGTACCTCTGGACTGGCAAACCGGGGTGGTGGTCCCTCTGTATAAGAAGGGGGACCGGAGGGTGTGTTCTAATTACAGGGGGATCACACTCCTCAGCCTCCCCGGTCTATGTCAGGGACTGGAGAGGAGAATCCGGACGATGGTCGAACCTCGGATTCAGGAGGAGCAGTGTGGTTTTCGTCCTGGCCGTGGAACACTGGACCAGCTCTACACTCTCCATCGGTGCTCGAGGGTTCATGGGAGTTTGCCCAACCAGTCCACATGTGCTTTGTGGACTTGGAGGGGGCATTCAACCGTGTCCCTCGTGGTGTCCTGTGGGGGGTGCTCTGGGAGTATGGGGTCCGGGGCCCTTTGCTAAGGGCTGTCCGGTCCCTGTATGACCGGAGCAGGAGCTGTGTTCGCATTGCCGGCAGTAAGTCAGACCTGTTCCCGGTGCATGTTGGACTCCGCCAGGGCTGCACCTGTCACCGGTTCTGTTCATTGTGTTTATGGACAGAATTTCTAGGCGCAGTCAGGGGCCGGAGGGGGTCCGGTTTGGGGACCACAGGATTTCATCTCTGCTGTTTGCGGATGATGTTGTCCTGTTGGCTTCATCGAACCAGGACCTGCAGCACTGGGGCGGTTTGACCGAGAGTGAAGCGGCTGGGATGAAGATCAGCTCTTCCAAGTCCGAGGTCGTTGGTTCTCGACCGGAAAAAAGGCGTCTTGCCCTCTCCGGGCGGGTGGAGAGTCTTTGCCTCAAGTGGAGGAGTTCAAGTATCTCGGGGTCTTGTTCACGAGTGAGGGGAGGACGGAACGTGAGATTGACAGGTGGATCGGTGCAGCGTCGGCAGTGATGCGGTCGCTGTATCGGACCGTTGTGGTGAAGAGGAGCTCGAAAGGCGAAACTTCGATTTACCGTCAGTCTTCGTTCCTACTCTCACCTCTGGTCGTGAGCTCTGGGTAGTGACCGAAAGGACGAGATCGCGGATACAAGTGCTTGAAATGAGTTTCCTCCGCAGGGTGGCTGGGCGTCTCCCTTAGAGATAGGGTGAGGAGCTCAGTCACACGGGAGGAGCTCGGAGTAGAGCCGCTGCTCCTCCACGTCGAGAGGAGCCAGTTGAGGCTCGGACATCTGTTCCGGATGCCTCCTGGGCGCCTCCCTCGGGAGGTGTTCCGGGCATGTCCCACCGGGAGGAGGCCCCGGGGAAGACCCAGGACACGCTGGAGGGACTATGTCTCTCGGCTGGCCTGGGAACACCTCGGGGTTCCCCCAGAGGAGCTGGAGGACGTGTCTGGGGTGAAGGAAGTCTGGGAGTCCCTGTTTAGGCTGCTGGCCCCGCGACCCGGCCCCGGATAAGCGGAAGAAAATGGATGGATGGATGGAAGCTATGACATTTGTGTATGTATAACTATTGTGCACACGCCAAAATGAGGTGGGAACAGGTTAAATAACTGTGTTGAACAACAGAAACAAAAACATTGTCTGATTTTCATTGGTTATTTTTTAGGAAATTTTTATTTATTATTGCTTTTCTTAGTTTCAAGTTATTTCAGTAAAAATTGTAGATTTTTCTTTCATTACCAGAGGAGTAAAAACAATTTTATCCACTTCTGTGTATCTGTAGTAAATATAGATATTACTGTTTTGAGACACTGATTGGACGTCACACATTTTACACCTGACACTCGTCCGGAGCAACTAGAAAAAACATCTGAGAGACAGAAAAATATCAAATCAGACTTTTACCTGAACACTTCACCTCCACACCCTTAGAGGAGAAGTCTGAACCAGAGACACATCCTCTCACTGAAGACTTGAACACACAGTCAGGTGAGACCGTCCACACAGGACCCTCTGGAAAATCACTTCTCTCTTCTCCATAAACAGCAGAGCCACAGTTCAGGTCTCTACACACACCAGCTGTGTCCTGTGGGTCCCAGACGCCAAAGGCCTCATCCACTCGTCTCCACTCTCCTCTGACTCTCACCTCCACAGTCCCAGCACAACGACTGGCTCCTCCCACCAACCTGAGCGGCTCTGAACAGACAAGAGACAGAGTGAAGCCCCGCCCCTTTACCTGAGCAGTGAAGCCCCGCCCCTTTACCTGAGCAGTGAAGCCCGCCCTTTTACCTGCAGTGAAGCCCCGCCCCTTTACCTGGACAGTGAAGCCCCGCCCCTTTACCTGGACAGTGAAGCCCCGCCCCTTTACCTGAGCAGGTGAGGTTGACAGTGGCTCCAGAGGAGCAGGTCCTTGAGTTGGAGCGGGGACAGTCCATCAGAGCAGACTCATGTCCCTCACAGTGGAACGTCTGCCCCAGAGGAGAGAGCGCCCCCTGGAGGAGAGAAGGAGCCCCACAGTCCAGCTCCCTGCACAGCACCTCTGCCCCCCGCTGGTCCAAGTCCCCGTCACAGACCCCGGTCCAGGACCCGTCCCAGATCTGCACTGATCCTGAACACAGACCGGACCCCGAGACCAACCGCACCGACTCTGTGGACACACATGTGACATCATCACTCTGAACCAAGGACACATGTGTACATCACTCTGGACGCACACATGTGTGACATCATCACTCTGAACCAACATAGGACGCACATGTGTGACATATCATCACCATAGGAGCACACATGTGACATCATCACTGACCAATAGGACGCACACATGTGTGACATCATAGGACACACATGTGTGACATCATCACTCTGAACCAATAGGACACATGACACACATGGACACACATGTGTGACATCATCACTCTGAACCAATAGGACGCACACATGTGTGACATCATCACTCTGAACCAATAGGACGCACACATGTGTGACATCATCACTCTGAACCAATAGGACGCACTCACATGTGTGACATCATCACTCTGAACCAATAGGACGCACACATGTGTGACATCATCACTGTAGTGCAGATTTATATCTGTGGTAAATATAGTTATTACTGTTGTGAGACGTGTGTGTGTGTGTGTGTGTGTGTGATCTAAACTCTGATTGGACGTCACACATTTTACACCTGACACTCGTCTGGAGCAACTAGAAAAAACATCTGAGACAGAAAAATGTAAGATCAGACTTTTACCTGAACACACCACGTCCAGACCCCCAGAAGAAGAAGAAGCCAGAGACACATCCTCTCACTGAAGACTTCAACACACAGTCAGATGAGACCCACCACACAGGACCCACTGGAAAATCATCTCTGCGATCTCCATAAACAGCAGAGCCACAGTTCAGGTCTCTACACACACCAACCGCAGCCTCCTTCTCATAGGGTCCATAGGACTCAAACACTCGTCTCCACTTTCCTCTGACTCTCATCTCCACAGTCCCAGAACAACGACTGGCTCCTCCCACCAACCTGAGCGGCTCTGAACAGACAAGAGACAGAGTGAAGCCCCGCCCCTTTACCTGAGCACTGAAGCCCCGCCCCTTTACCTGAGCAGGTGAGGTTGACAGTGGCTCCAGAGGAGCAGGTCCTTGAGTTGGAGCGGGGACAGTCCATCAGAGCAGACTCATGGCCCTCACAGTGGAACGTCTGCCCCAGAGGAGAGAGCGCCCCCTGGAGGAGAGAAGGAGCCCCACAGTCCAGCTCCCTGCACAGCACCTCTGCCCCCCGCTGGTCCAAGTCCCCGTCACAGACCCCGGTCCAGGACCCGTCCCAGATCTGCACTGATCCTGAACACAGACCGGACCCCGAGACCAACCGCACCGACTCTGTGGACACACATGTGACATCATCACTCTGAACCAATAGGACGCACACATGTGTGACATCATCACTCTGAACCAATAGGACACACACATGTGTGACATCATCACTCTGAACCAATAGGACGCACACATGTGTGACATCATCACTCTGAACCAATAGGACGCACACATGTGTGACATCATCACTCTGAACCAATAGGACGCACACACATGTGTGACATCATCACTCTGAACCAATAGGACGCACACATGTGTGACATCATCACTCTGAACCTGAGGACGCACACACATGTGTGACATCATCACTCTGAACCAATAGGACACACACATGTGTGACATCATCACTCTGAACCAATAGGACACACATGTGTGACATCATCATCTGTGGACTGCATCATCACTCTGAACCAATAGGACGCACACATGTGTGACATCATCACTCTGAACCAATAGGACACACACATGTGTGACATCATCACTCTGAACCAATAGGACGCACACATGTGTGACATCATCACTCTGAACCAATAGGAGTGTAGTTTTCACCTGAACACTTGAGCTCCAGACTCTGCGTGAGGAAGATGTTTCAGTTTTGAAGCAGCGACTCACAGATGTTTCTTCACAGTTGTTAGAAACAGTCAGGACTTTTCTCTCTGGACCTGTTTTTCTCTCCACAGACAGAACAGTGCCACAGTCGAGCGCTGAACACAATCTGGCCCCAAACCCAAGAGTCACAGACGATGGATCCACTGTAGTCCAGTCCAGACCTGGTCTCTGAAACTCCACCTCCCCCTCACAGCGACTGGGTCCCACCAGCCTCACACTGAAAGAGTCTGAAGAGACACACAATGATACACACACACACACACACACACACACACACACACACACACAGACACACACACACACACACACACACATACACACACAGACACACACACAGACACACACACATACACACACACACACAGACACACACACACACACAGACACACACACACACACATACACACACACACACAGACACACACACACACAGACACACACACACATACACACACACAGACACACACACACACACACACACACACACAGACACACACACACACACACACACACACACACACACACACACACACACACACACACACACACACAGGTGTGTCTGTGTTGTGGGTTTGACTCCTGGTCTGTGTGAGTGTGTTGCTTCTTACCTGCCGAGTTGTTTTCTGCCAGGACCCCTGCACACAGGACCCCTGCACACAGGACCCCTGCACACAGGACCCCTGCACACAGGACCCCTGCACACAGAGTTGATGTTACACACTGTGGTGTGTTGTGTGTTAAAGTGCAGGGACAGGAGGAGAGTGTGGTGTGACGTCTCTGTGCTTCACACACTTTATCTCAGAGGAAAAAGCTCCTTTTCCTCACGTCTCTATTGATTTATTTAACCACACAGTGATGTCACAGGGTGCCCTGTCCTCACACACAAACACAAACGTGGCTTTAATCGTGCTCTGCTCTGTCGTTTCCACACAAATGGAAGAACTTACAACTTATTATTATTATTTCTTATTATTATAACTTATTACAACTTTGTCATCGTGTTTTCATATAAAAACAGAAACATGAAAAGAGGCAGGTTTAAATTCAAATAAAAATGTTTTTGTTGTCATATTAGAAAGTAAAAATATACAGAGGACTGGAGTGGAGCTGTAGAGGGGCCCGGGCTCAGAGTCACCACCAGGGGGCGCTGGATGCACAGAAGAACCACAGTCTGTATGTCACAGGCAAAACTCAGAATCCTAAAGTGTTCTATAGTTTTATTTTTGGATCTGACCGTTTGTGTCGCCTCTTTTAGACTGAGGCAGAGTGAAAATGATTAGGCCCGAGCCCCGTAAGGCCTATTCACTACGAGGAGCCAATGGGCAACGATGAGCGCTTGGGCGAATGCGAGAGGACGTCGTGCAGCTTCGTCCTCTCGGTCGCCCCCGGAACAAACAGCAGTATCACAGAAACCCACGCCCAAGACCTGAGCCATATTTACTACTGCTAAAATGAATGGAAGTCAATGGGAGGTCAGGGGGCGACCCCGACGAGATGGTGCAGACGCACCCGTCACTCACCAATGACCCCACGGTGACATGGGGAAGGTCGAGAGTTTTCAAAAAATGTATAATATGCTGTTCCAATGTTTTTGAATATATTGTTTTTGCTCGAATTATTATTATTTTTAGGCCCGAGCGGCAGAAGCTGGTGAAGGGCCTGTTAGTATCACAAAGCGATGCTCCTAGTGGGCGGAAAGTGAAATGGCGCGACATGACTCGCCCATAGTGACCAGGGACCCTCGCCATGACGTAGCAATGTGCCAGAGGTTTCCAAAAATGTATAGTTTGTCGGCCAAAAAAAGCAGAACTTTGTTGTCATGTCAGAATTTCTTTCTTCTTTTTCTTATTTTTTTTTTCTCCTAACCAACTCTCCCTTTTTTCACCCACTGAACAATGATGAAAAGTCCTGAAATTTTGCCACCTGTTAAAACTCACGCTTCTCTAAGTTTTGGCTATTTCCATTTTCCAAAAATAAATAAAATGGCTCGACTCTCAAATGCATGAGGGAATACGAATGACACACACACAAAAATTGCACTTACAGTCATGAAATTAATATTGGCTTAAACTTTGCTAAGCTTTTACAAACACCTCTGAGGACTGAGGCTCAAATTTGGTCCACATTTTCTCTGGGCAGTGAAGCGACAAAAAAATTCACACAATTTTGGAGATTTTTGCAAATTTACAAATTGCTCCCATTTGCTCAAACGAACTCTGATTATAATGAAATTTGAAACAGTTGTTAAACTCTCTGCCCTGAAGCTACTTAATGTGAAAAATATTAATTTGGTGCATTAGCGCCCCCTATAGATTGAAACAAAATGTAATAAGTTTCAGAAATTTGGCACAAAATTCAATTTTGACATCCCCATCCAAAAGTCAGTGACACCCATGTCATATTTTTGGTGTTGCCATAGCGATGACATAAACTCTCATGTTATTCCATTGGTAAAATCCACAAATCACACAAACTTTGGCCGATTTCACTCAAATTTTAATCGTGGGTTCACACCTCGACCCTGAACAGATGGATGTAAGAAAAATGGGTGTAATAGTGTTAGGATTAGGAATAGGATTTTAAAACCTGTTTTGTCAAGTTCCTATCTGGAGTCACATTCTCTTGCTGGTTTTGCAGTGGGATTTAGCCTTCGCACATTTACCAAACCAAACGCACATCGTGACAAACCTCCACATACCTCCAGAATCCTGATGACATAAATATAACTAAAACACAAGTTTTAACAATCAACTACTCTCCAAGTAACTGGAGAACTAAAACAAATCAAATATCTGGGAGTCTTTATCTCACAGGAGTTTTATAATCTGTTTACCTTCAATTGTAGTAAAATAATGGATTTAATTCAGAAAGATAGAACCCGGTGGTCATCTTTGACACTGGATTTTACCACAAGAATAGAAGCGGTGAAGTTCAACCTTTTGCCAAGATTTCTTTATCTTTTTATGTCATTACCAATTAGAATTTCAGATTCTCAGTTCAATCCAAGACAAGATAATATTGAGATTTATTTGGGCCGGTACCAGACCAAGGATCAAATTCAAAACTCTCCAGATTAGTAAAGAATGTGGAGGTTTGTCTGTCCCTAATCTGAAAGAATATTATTATGCAGCCCAACTAAGAAACATAGTTTGCTGGTGTTCTCCTGATTTTGAAGCAGGATGGAAACAAATAGAGTTGAATTTGGGAAACCCTCCACTGACGTCACAACTAGGAGGAAAAATAAAAGTGTGTAGCAGGAGAAACTATCGTGGAGAAAACTCTGCTCACATGACATGAAGTTATTAGAAAATATCATCTGTCGAAAGCAGTTGGAATCTTGATCTGGCCCTTTTCCTCCTCAAGGTTTCAACCGAGTGATACAGACTCAACTTTTTCATCTTGGAAAGAAAAAGGATTAACGTTTGTGGAGGGAAAAACTTTTAAATCGTTTGAAAATTTGAAAACTGAATTCAACTTGGAAAACACAGATTTGTTTAGATATTTACAAGTTCGTCATTTTTACAACACAGAAATAAACCAAGATGACAACAGTAATATTGCTTTTCTATATATTTATAAAACTCTGCCCAGCAAATCTGTCTGTAAACTTTATAAAGGGCTGCAAATACAAAAGGGTAATAACACATTTTATGTTAAATCTAAATGGGAGGAAGAGCAGCGTGTTGTTTTATCAGAGGATGATTGACTTTTGACGTGCAGCAAAACAACAAAAACCAACTCGCTCCAAAATGTGGAGGGAATTCAGGTGGAAGTGTTTTATACGATTCTTTATTACTCCTCAAATTCCTTCCAGAGCTCAAGGGTCAGATTCTCTTTGTTGGAGACGGTGCGGTCGCTCAAACACCAAACACTCTCAGATTTTTAATACATGTACAAAATTAAAATCAAATTAAAATCATTCTGGGATAATGTGTTTGAAAAAACAGATACAATCTTGACTTATGTCGTCCCCAAGGACCTGAAGATATTTTTGTTGGACCTTCTGTCTGGAGAGGAGATGGAAAAAGGGACAGAACCTTTTTAAGATTCTGACTTTGACATAAAAAAAAAAAAAAAACAATAACAAGAAGCTGCTTAAAAAAAACCCACTGTCAGTGAATCAGTGACTCGACATTACAGAAGAAATATTCTCCATGGAACAACTGACTTTTTTTCTACGTCTCAAAGGACATTTCTTCATGAAACACTGGACAAAATGGTTGAAATATAAACATAAAGAGACTTGACTTCTACATCCTTATAACAACAGAACACTGCCCCAGGGTTTGTGTTTGTTTGTTTCACAAAACTGAAAAAATAAAAAATAAAAAGTAAATAAATAAATAAACCTCTTAAAAAAAAGTATATATGTGTGTGTATATATATATATATATATATATATATATATATATATATATATATATATATATATATATATACATATATATATTACATGTATATATATATTTTATATATATACACATGTACAGTACAAAATGCAAAAAATAAATTTTGGTGTTAAAATTATATTTTGTTTGTATAATATGTAATTGATTTTGCTCTATGTAAATATTTGTTAAGTTGCGTGATCAATGTTCAGAAGAGGTGGGTTCATATAAGTTTTTCTTCTTTCCTCCTTTTCGAGAAATGTGTTTTTCTGTTGTTTACAATGTACATGTAGTAACATGATTATTGTTTCTCTCTTGGCACAAACTCCAAATAAAAAACAATCAATCAATCAACCATTAAAATTATAAACTGTTCTTTCCTTTTTCAGTGGGAAAACTTACAAAATCAGCAACAGATCAAATACTTATTTCCTCCACTGTTCATCAAATAAAATCTGAAAGCCAAAAAAGCCAGAACTCACCCCAACACCAGAGGGACCGGAGCATCACCCTGAGGAACATGTCCCAGAACCAGGACTGAACCAGGACCGAACCAGGACTGAACCAGGACTGAACCAGGACTGAACCAGGACCGAACCAGGACTGAACCAGGACCAGGACCGAACCAGGACTGAACCAGACTGACTGAACCAGGACTGAACCAGGACTGAACCAGGACTGAAGTAAGACTGACCTGGGACTGAAGCAGGTCTAAACCAGGTCTGAACCTGAGTCTGCTCTTTGAGCATCCTGTTTTTTAACACCTTCTTATCTTGATGGTTTGTGTTTTTTCTCGTAAAGACGAACACGTCAAATCAGATATAAAACTTTCCGAAACAGCTCATCCGCTCACGTTGGTCCAGGTCGTCATGGCAACCAACGAGCCAATCAGGAGCGAGCGTGTCAAGAGTAAAGTCCTCCGACGTGGACGACGTGTCCAACCTCCTCAGGCGTGTTTCTGATGAGGAACAGGGTTAAAACACGAGACACAGAAACAAACTTTTATTTTTATATCATATCCTAATATAAAATATATATAAAATATATAATATCCTCTTTTTAACGTCGCTCTGCCTGAGTTTTACTGTTTTTAAAATGTAAATCCATTTTCAGTGTTTAGTACCAGGACTAAACCAGGACTAAACCAGGACTAAACCAGGACTAAACCAGGACTAAACCAGAACTAAACCAGGACTAAACCAGGTCTAAACCAGGACTAAACCAGGACTAAACTAAACCAGGACTAAACCAGGACTAAACCAGGACTAAACCAGGACTAAACCAGGACTAAACCAGGAAAACCAGGACTAAACCAGGACTAAACCAGGACTAAACCAGGTAAACTAAACCAGGACTAAACCAGGACTAAACCAGGACTAAACCAGGACTAAACTTCCTCGTATATTTGAACATTTATAATAATATAAAGTCGGTCAATCTGTTTCTACATATTGTTTCATATATTTTTAAAATACATTTCTGTGCAAACAAAACTGTTTTATATTATTTCATGAATCTGTATTATAAGTTTCTTTTTTTTTTTAGTTAAGCAAACTCCAAATCACATTTTACAACTCACATTTAGTCTAACAGAGATAAAGATGAACCATGTGACGATGGATTGATTCATATATCGTCAAATACAGATGATTATTATTATTATTATTATTATTATTATTATTATTATTATTAAATCATCATTAACAGCAGCAGCAAAAAAAAAAAAACCCACACAGATTTTTTCCTCTGAGTCCTTTTTTTCTTCCTCCACATGACATTTATAATCTCCATGACATTTATCCTCCACACTGAAACGTGGATTATACTTGTATAAAGTTTGTCATAACGACGCAGATCAACTAATGTACATTTCCTGTGGAGTTTCATCACATCAAAAACCTGTTTCCTGCCCTGTGACACTTTTTACATTTTCTAAATTTAGCACTGAACTGTGTGATTTGTCAAACTCTCCTCCAGCAGCAAAACATTTTCTGTCCTTTTCAAGTCTCTGCCACAAAGTAAAAGTACAAAGTGATTCTGTGTCCGTTATCCAACAAAACACTGAACATGTTTCTGTTCATTTCTCTAGTCAAATTCTTTGAAACATTTCTCCTGAATATTTTCACAACCGTATCCATGGTTACTGACATTTTCTCTCATAACCAGCATCTCTTCATCACCAACTTTTTGTTCACAGTGTTGTCACCTCCTCCTGTTTGTTTCACCTTTTTGGTCGTTATAGTTTAGTTGAGTTGAGTTTATTGTACTTGTTCAGTGTCATGCACCATTTAGTTTATAAGACACATAAAAATCAGCAGACAGATCACACATCAAACATAAAGTGTCGTTTTACTTTCAACACAAACTGGGCCAACTTAAAAACATGACATTTAAACAGACACTTGAGTCTCTCCTCATCAGACGCAGCAAACCAACAGTGAGACACATGAGACACGACTGACAGAGCAGCTCATGATACAAACCTCACTAAAACACTCAATGACTTTCATGTTCAACCTCCTTTAAGCGGCTCAGACTCTGTTGGGCAAGTTCCTGTCAAACTCTAATGTTTTATTTATGACCTGTTACTGTCGTCTCAAAGTCATTAGTCACATTACAATATTACTGCATTTAAAATGTAAGGCATTACATTACTATTACATTACTATTACATTACTATTGCATTACTATTGCATTACTATTACATTACTATTACATTACTATTGCATTACTATTGCATTACTATTACATTACTATTACATTACTATTGCATTACTATTACATTACTATTGCATTACTATTACTATTGCATTACTATTACATTACTATTACATTACTTGCATTACTATTACATTACTATTGCATTACTATTACTATTACTATTATTACTTACATTACTATTACATTACTATTACATTACTATATTACATTACTATTGCATTACTATTACATTACTTACATTACTATTACATTACTATTACATTACTATTGCATTACTATTGCATTACTATTACTATTACTATTACATTACTATTACTATTACATTACTATACATTACTATTGCATTACTATTACATACTATTACATTACTTGCATTACTATTACATTACTATTGCATTACTATTACATTACTATTGCATTACTATTAATTACATTATTACATTACTATTAATTACTATTACATTACTATTGCATTACTATTGCATTACATTACTATTACATTACTATTACATTACTATTACATTACTATTGCATTACTATTATTACATTACTTATTACATTACTTACTATTGCATTACTATTACATTACTATTACATTGCATTACTATTGCATTACTATTACATTACTTATTACATTACTATTGCATTACTATTACATTACTATTACATTACTATTACATTACTATTGCATTACTATTACATTATTACATTACATTACTATTACTTATTTACATTACTATTGCATTACTATTATTACTATTACATTACTTACATTACTTACATTACTATTACATTACTTATTACATTACTATTGCATTATTATTACTATTACTATTACATTACTATTACTATTACTATTGCATTACTATTACATTACTATTGCATTACTATTTACTATTACTTACTATTAATTACATTATATTATTATTATATTATTACTATTACATACTATTGCATTACTATTACATTACTATTACATTACATTGCATTACTATTAATTACTATTACATTACTATTATTACTATTACATACTATTACATCTATGCATTACTATTACTATTACATACATTTACATTATTACATTATATTGCATTACATTACATTACATTACTATTACTATTACTTATATTGCATTACTATTACATTACATTACATACTATTGCATTACTATTACTATTACATTATATTACTATTATTATATTACTTTATATTGCATTACTATTACATTACTATTACTACTATTTGCATTACTATTACATTACTATTGCATTACTATTACATTACTATTGCATTACTATTGCATTACTATTACATTACTATTACATTACTATTGCATTACTATTGCATTACTATTGCATTACTATTACATTACTATTACATTACTATTGCATTACTATTACATTACTATTGCATTACTATTGCAATTACTATTACATTACATATATTGCATTACTATTTACTATTACATTACTATTGCATTACTATTACTATTACTATTGCATTACTATTGCATTACTATTACATTACTATTAATTACTATTTGCATTACTATTGCACTATTACATTACATTTGTTACTAGTTACTCTCACCAAAATAACTTTTGTGCTGTATATGGACTGAACCAGGACTAAACCAGGACTAAACCAGGTCTAAACCAGGACTAAACCAGGACTAAACCAGGTCTAAACCAGGACTAAACTAGGTAAACCAGGTCTAAACCAGGTCTAAAACCAGGACTAAACCAGGTCTAAACCAGGTCTAAACCAGGACTAAACCAGGACTAAACCAGGTCTAAACCAGGTCTAAACCAGGACTAAACCAGGACTAAACCAGGAACTAAACCAGGTCTAAACCAGGTCTAAACCAGGACTAAACCAGGACTAAACCAGGTAAACCAGGTAAACCAGGACTAAACCAGGTCTAAACCAGGACTAAACCAGGACTAAACCAGACTAAACTAAACCAGGACTAAACCAGGACTAAACCAGGACTAAACCAGGACTAAACCAGGACTAAACCAGGACTAAACCAGGACTAAACCAGGTAAACTAAACCAGGTAAACCAGGACTTAAACCAGTAAACCAGGACTAAACCAGGTCTAAACCAGGACTAAACCAGGACTAAACCAGGACTAAACCAGGACTAAACCAGGACTAAACCAGGACTAAACCAGGACTAAACCAGGACTAAACCAGGACTAAACCAGGAACTAAACCAGGTAAACCAGGTAAACCAGGACTAAACCAGGACTAAACCAGGACTAAACCAGGAAAACCAGGACTAAACCAGGACTAAACCAGGACTAAACCAGGAAAACTAAACCAGGACTAAACTGAAACCAGGTGGACTAAACCAGGATCCAGGAACCTGGTGAAGTCTAAACAGGTCTGAACCTGGACAAGTGGTTTGTGTTTTTTCTCGTAACTCAAATCAGATATAAACTTTCCGAAACAGCTCATTCCGTCACAGTTGGTCCAGGTCATGGAACAACGAGCAATCAGGAGCGAGCGTGTCAAGAGTAAAGTTCCTCAACCGTGTTTGTTTCTGTTTTGAGTTTTACTCCAGTGTTTAGTACCAGGACTAAACCAGGTGAAACAGGTCTAAACCAGGTCTAAACAGGACTAAACAGGACTCAGTGTTGGTCGGTCTTGAAGGTGACGCAGGAGAAAGGAGCGGCTCTGCTCCTCATGCAGGTCAGAGCGTCTGATTGTTCTTTACAGACTCTCTGCTGCTCGGGCTCCAGGTCCTGATTTCATCAACTATTTGCAGGTACAAGACCTGGTGCAAGACTCTGTTACAGTGTGTAACTTCTACCTTCCTTCAGCGTGTCCAGAAGTCCAACTTTTTGTGTGATGTTTCATCTTCCTCTGTCTTTTGGT